TTATATAATAATTTATTTAAAACTAATTCATAAATAATATTTATCGAATTGAAAAAATAAATATTGTTAGACAAAAATAGGAGACGATTTTTATAAAATAATATTTGTCGAAGAAAATTATTGTGTATATATATATATATATTGTATGAAGTATTTTATCAAATATTTTATCACTTGTGAATACACAATTTATTATATATTAAAATAATATTTATTCAACATTCTTTTATATACATTTTTTAAGATCGCTCTCTGGCCATTAATATGTAAGCAAGCACCTGTTTAAACTCGAATCCTTTTCTAATACCTGCAATAAACAGAGCAAGAATAAAAATTGTCTAAGTATGAAGATTATACGGCTTAGGTAGAAAAAAAACTTTAGTCTCAGCTTCTAACGATTCAGGCTTAAAGTTATGAAAAACATAAAAGAAGAAGGAAAACTAATTTGAAATCTGTAAATGCCTGGTCCAACGATAAGCAACGAAACGAAGAGAGATGCAAAACACTTGGCTATCGCAATCGCGGAATATAGCCGGATATGAGTGAGGGTCTTATAGATATAAATAGCGGAGAAAAAGGGGTCGAGCAATAGGTATATTAAAGGACGAAAAGAAAGGTGGGTGATGAAAAGGGAGAAAGAGGTCTTTTGCGCTGAGCATATAGCTCATTTAATTACAAATTCCATTAAAATGAATGCCAGTTCAGAAACAAACTCCACATATCTGTATTAAAGCACGCGAGCACTCGCGCTCTCGGTAACATGTCTTAATCAGTTTAATATAAATATGAAATATGCAGAGTGCGACGAGGTTATGTAGTGTGTTTGTTCTGTCTCCGCCTCACCGCTAGGTTAAAGGGTTCACAAACGTCGACTCTCTTTCTTTCATTCTCTCCCCTTCAGCCCCCACTAACTCTCGTGCGCGCTCACTCTCACTCACCTCCGTCTCTCTTGGTATTTCGCTACGAAACACTAACGTGTGTGCATTACGCAAAATATATAGGACGTTCGTATATAAGCGCCTCTTATTCCGTACAGAAGATACAGAGGGAAGGGAGGAGCGAATGTGTGAGAAAAGGTGGAGGGGGCAGTGAGAGATAGAGAGAGAGAGAGAGAGAGAGAGAGAGAGAGAGAGAGAGAGAGAGAGAGAGAGAGAGAGAGAGAGAGAGAGAGAGAGAGAGAGAGAGAGAGCGAGAGAGAGCGACTCTCTATCTTTGCCACCTTACGACTCCTGGGGGTGCGCCTTCGTATTAACCCCTTACATATTAACCGAAGAGATAACTGGGTTCTCTAATATTAATTTTCTGAATCAACTGTCCCCCATACGAATTCTTGCTTATACGTCGATTTATTCACTGCATTTATATTTCTTATTGATACCTCCTTACGCGTACATTATTACTCATAGCATTTTTATTTTATCTTACCACTGAGTATTATTGTACATTGCGATATGCTATTTTAAAAAATTTAAGATTAAAATATTTACGTTTTCGATACTATTGATGAAATAAATAAATATTATTGCGGAACAAAAATTAATCCATTTTGATCATTATCTTTTAAAAATAACAGATTTAACTCATTGTGCTGGAACCATAACCAACACGAATTTTCTTTGTTTATTATTATTATCAAATTATGCATTACATCCTTTTTATCACACTTTTATAGGACCATATGAAACTTTTCAACTTTCTAAATACGAAGTATTCCGTATTAACCAAGACGTATTTATTATTTGTTGAAACGTAGATTCTAATGAAATTTACAATTACTATAAAATTGATAACTTTATAGTGTATTATCATATTCTTTATGTTGCATATAATGATATTTATTTGGTGAGAAATCCCATATTCTAATAATTACATTTTATCTGGAATTGTGGAAAACTCCCCTATCGTTAAGAGAAAGAGAAGCTTCGAATAAACCGATGATAGCCAATCTGCGCGTAAAAGCATTTGAAAAAAAGGATAGTAACGCTTTGCGCCAACTGATATAGCGAAGAAGAGAGAAAGCAGAAACGAAAAAACAACGAACGCGCGAAACAGAAACGTTTAGTCAGCGTAGGACATTTTTCAATAACCATGGGTACACAAGTTGCCGGTCAGCAACCGATCACCTGGGGAAATCTCCGTCTGCGACCTCTCTCTCTCTCTCTCAATCCCCACCACACTCACACAATTCATCTCTCGATTCTTCCTTTCCTAGCAATCTACCTTTCCTATATGTTCCTCCCACTTATCCACTACTTGGTCTTTGATTAGCTGTGATTTTATAAATAATAGATCAATGAAAAATAAACAAGACGCCATGGGAATTAAGTAAATGGATGGTTGACTGACTACTAAGATACGACTAAAATCTATTTCGACCTTGCTTTGTTTTTGCCCCGACTTTTATATTCTTAAGGGCGCCATAATAATTTTATGAGCTGCCTGGTTATGTTTGTGCAAGCGTATGTTTACGGGAAAATCCAAGTTGATCATCGAAACGTTAAACGTAGCGACGGATGTCTCGGATGCTCGGTATGCGCAATTTCATTGGGAAAGCAATTGACATCACCTGAATTTTCCAATTATACTATTGTAGTATCTTCTTGCATACGGTCGAACGTCATTTACGCTTAAATTGAACGTGTACGTGAATGTAACACAACGATACGTTAAATAACTTCACTTGTTACAATGACATATGACGGATAAAATTATATGCAAAAATTAAATTACAGCGTTTAAACTAATGGATTTTATTAGCAAATAATTGAATTAATCGTGCATTAATTTTGTGATAAATTCAACTCTTCATCGGCTTCTTCTTGCAATTTTGCTCAGTCTCTCACACTCTGTTTCTCGCAATTTTTTAAAGACCCATATCTTATCGTATAAGTATCAATCATCCCGATAACTAACATCCTCACATTTATTTAGCAGCTTGCAATTAAAAAAAAAAAAAAAAAAAAAAAAAAAAATGCTTAAAAAGTGATGAACTAGCAAATAAATAAGTGGTTGGTAGGTGGACAAGCATCCGGAGTGAATCCACAGAGAAGGCGTGGTTTTTTTTATAATTATTTCACTCATAATTACATGAATAATCTTGAAAAAAGAAAGAAAATAGGTCGCTCCCGAGCTCATCACATCTCGCAAATAAAAGAGGAAACAAGACAAACATTTCCCGACATAATTGCGCACCGTCCAACTTGC